TCTGAGGACTCCAAGGTCTGTAGCTGGAGGCTCCTCGCGGGGACCACATGGTCCTGTGGAGACTCCCACCCTCTGAGCCATCTCTCCTCTCCCAGGAGGGGGATTCTGTGGGCAATTCCTCCCTCCTGCAACCCCACTCGTGAGGGCCAAGGTGGAATCTGAACTTGGCAGCCTGGGGGGTGGGGTGGGAACAGGAGGGGAGCTGAGACGGCCCTGTGGGGGCCGGAACTCCTCTGAGGGCAGGTGTCAGGGTGACCAAGGGCCCAGAGGCGGAGCAGCTTCCTGCCGCCATGGTGAAGGTCCTGGGGGCTTAGGAGGGGGTACACCCAGGCTCAGGGATCAAGGATGGTGGTGCGTGGGGGATGTGCTCCTGGTCAACCTCATTTTTTCCGAGTCTGAAGCCATCCTTGGAGCTAGAAACAGCAGATTAGACTCGGTGGGTGACGAACAGCCCTTATGGGGGATATATCCCTGTCCCTGTGTCCCCCTGGTGGCAGGGATTTAAATGTTCCCTGCCTTCTTTGTGAATCCTAAATCAAGGAGATTCATCGAGGCCGGGGTGAACTCTTAGCTCTAGCAGGCAAGGCCTATGTTAAATCGCCCTCTCGGGCTCCTGCTTCCAGTCACAAATCTGCCCGTAATGAGCGCTCCCCCTTAATGAGTAGCCCCCACAGAGAGAGCCGCTAAATCCAGTGCATGGGGCTCTGGGCAGGGGCACAGGACTGTTTGCTTTGGCTGGGGAAGGTGTTGGGCCCGGCCTGAGTGTTTGCCTGGGGGGGCAGCTGATAAGTGGAAAGTGCTGCGTGGCGTTCCCAGCCATCTGCCACGCGTGACACGCAGCCCCTGCCGCCCTGCAGCCCCGGGCAGCAGCCCGGGAAGCCTGTCACCGTGTCTGCAGCTTCCTCTGTGGCTCCCTGGTCACCAGGAGCCCAGGATGATTTTTTCCCTTCCCTTCAGAGTAAAAATAGAACCCTGGGACTTTTGTTTGTTTTGATGAATGATTTCCAGGCTGCTGTTTGGCGTGCAAAGCTCGCCAGCTGCAGGGTGAGTGGGGGCCAAGAGACAAGTGCTCCTTTGCTCCTCTGGGCCGCTCGATGCCTTTTTTCTGGCCAGGCAGTGAGGGAGACCTGGATTAGCCAGGCTCTGCCCCTGATAAACGGCCGGCCCGTTAGTCCAGCCTCTGTGGGTCTCGCTTTTCTTCCTCATCAAATGGGGGCTCAGACACTCTGTTTTGTTTTCTTCTTTTTCGCTTTTTTGGGTCACCCCGGCAATGCTCAGGGGCTACTCCTGGCTCTGCACTCAGGAATTCCTCCTGGTCGTGCTGGGGGCCCAAATGGGGGGCCGGGGACCTAACCCAGGTGCCGCGTGCAAGGCAGGTGCCCTCCCTGCGGTGCCATCGCTCCAGCCAAGAGGCGCTCACTTTGCCTGACACAAAGGCATAAAGCCAGATAAAGGGAAAAAGCAGGTCACTGGTCACTGTGCATCCTTCCCTAGGCTTCTGCAGCCCCTGGGCCTGGTGGTCAGCAGCGTGCTGTGCCCAGAGGCTGAGATGAGGGCATCCCTGCTGCTTGCATAAAAGCCCAGGAAATGGATTGGAATTCTCTGCCAAGTGTAGACTTGGGGGTGTGTTGGGGGTGGGGGTGGGTGACACACACGTAGCCTCCTGCATGGGTGGCCTCAGCCCCTGCAGTGAGCGGCTCCGAGGGAGTCTGGAATTGCCGGAGGGGAAGGTTCTGGACTGTCTGAGGGAGGGGTCCCCAGATCCCTTCCCCACCACGCTCCTTCGTCTAAAACACCACCCCCCACTCCCTCAGTGGATCTTTCGGACATCTCGCTCCTCCTTCCCACGAGGCCTGTTTCCTTCTTTCTGCTGGATTGCTCTTTTCAGTCTAGAAAGCTGTCTCGGTGATGTCCAGCCTGAGGCCCGGCAAGTCCTGGAGGAGGTGTCATTGCTCCAGTGCTGGGGACAGGCGCGGTGGGCCAGGGCCTCAGGCAGCAAGGCCAGCACAACTGACCCTGTTTCCCCCGTGCTCTGTGCTCTTCCTGGCCCGAGCGCTCCATCCAGCTGCTCTTAGGAGCCTCCCGGCAGCGTCTCTGATTTCCCCCCCATCAAAGTCACTTTAGAGTTGGTCTCGCCCACCCCCTGCAGACAGGTCTGTGCTTATTTTCCAGCCCAGACTGTCCCCTATTCAGTGACCCAGGTGGGTGCTCCAAGACCACCTGAACCTGCTCCCCTGCCCCTTCCCCACTCAGACGCCCCTTCCCTGCTGCCCGCTCCTCTCAGGAATCACACTCCTGCTGGGCTCAGAACCTCAGACCCAGCAGTCGCTCCCATCTCTGCCTCCAGTCCCCTGGCCAGTCTGGGCCTCCCTCCCCTGCCCACACCTTCCCATTGCGCCTCTCTGTCCCCTGCAACCTTTGTGACTCGGAGTTAGCACAGCAGCAACTGGACGCCGAGTATTCATCGGGTTCCCCCTGTGTGGGGGATTAAGGCCCAGAATCCCGCTGGGCGCGCAGGGTTTGTGCCCTGCTCTTTGCACCATGCGCACTTGGCCTTCTAGTCCGGCCCTGCCAGCGGCCAAGCAATTTCCCCTCCTGGATGACCCCTTCTGCGTTCCGACGGGCTCTCAGCCCAGAGTGCTTCTCTCCGTGAGGCTGCCAGACGCTCTCTGCAACCCTGCACCCGTCAGGGGCCACCTCACAGGTGGGTAAGGGGGCTCTGTGCTCAGGGCCTGTCTCCTTCCCTGGCGCCAACGGTCTGGCCCTCCTGCTCACTGCTGCAGCCCCGGCACCATGGAGACAGGCCCGGCAGGCAGGAGGTGCCCCAGAAACCCAGTGTCCACTCCCCGCTGGACACTGGAGGGAGCCAGGGGTGCCCACATGCACTCTAGTCTGTGGGGCTGTGAGGTCTCTGGGCCCACGTCTGTAGCTCTCTCTTGCTAGAGAGAGGAGGAGGAGAGGAGGAGGAGAAGACAGAGATTGCCCCAAGGCGCCCATCACGCAGAAGCCTGGGGCTGGCAGTGCTCTGGGGTGAAGAAGGTTGCCAGGGAGCAGGTGGGCAGGCCCAGGCTCCCTACTGGGGGCGCCTTGCAGAACAACCTCGAGCAGGGGTCCTGGGGGGGTGCCAGTCAGCCCAGCAGCACCATGGCCTTGAGTTTGGGGGTCCCTGGGCGGAGGCTGCGGCCAATGGCACTTTGGGGGTCCGTCCAAAAGAGGAAGGCAGCTGGAGAAGGGCAGGTCTGTCCACAGCAGCCGCCCAGAGGCGGAGGGGCAGGTGTGGGAGGAAGGGCGGAGGGGCCTCGTCTTCCCCTTCCTGAGGCCTGACACCCCCCGCCCCTCCCCGCGGGTCTCCTGGAGCCGCCACCGCCTTCCACCAGCAGCTCCTTGGCGAGAGGCGCCCCCCGGCGGCCTCCAGGGGCAGGACACGGGCTTGGGAGCGGGAGCGGGAGGTGACAGCCCGCCCTGGAGCGTGGGGAGCACGGGGGGCGCCCCGCGTCCTCGCCGTCCTCCCCGCCAGCCTCCCTCTCGCCTGCTCCCTGTGCGCGCGCGGAGGGGTCGGGTAGGAACCACTTACACTTCCTCTGCAGGATGCTCTGCCGGGCCCGGATGAAGGCGAGGATGTCGGAGTCCGTCTGGCTGTCCCCGGTGAGAGGGATGGAGGACGGTGGCCGCTCGGGAAGGCTGGGGACGAGCAGCGAGGGGCCTCGCCAGGCCGCACTGAGACGTCTCCCTTGCCCGGCCGGGCTGTCCCCCAGGCTCTCTGTCCTGCTGCCCTAACCCGCCCGTGGCCCCTCTCTCTGGGAGTGAAGCCCCACCGCTGCCTGCAGCCTGACCCCTGTCCTGCCCCTTTCCCTGGGCGCCCCCGCTCTCCCCCAGGGCCCTGCTCTCCGATCACTGACCAGGCTGGCACCTGTCCTATCTGGAGCCTAACTGGACCCTGGGACCCTCTCGGTCTCCCTGCGGCCCTGCCCCCTGCAAGGCTGGCCAGCAGAGCGGGCCATTCCCCTCTTCCCTTGGGGGCAGGGGCAGGAGCAGGCTGAAGTGATCATTCACTTCAGCTGGCCCGGTGCCCTCTATGTCACCAGCTGTCCCAGAGCCCCCAGAAGGATCTACAGCCAAGCAGGTGGCAACGCTCAGAGCCCAGCGAGCAGCAGACACAGATGCGTTCCCCAACCCCCTGGGTGGGCCTGTGTGGCCAGACCACCAGGTTCTGGCTCTCAGAGTTGGTTTTGTTTGTCTGCTTTTGGATCTCAGCTGACTGGGCTCAGGGCTCACTCCTGGTTCTGCACTCAGGGCTCACTGCGGGCGGCACCTTGGGGGACCCCACAGGGTCTCTGGGATTGAACCCGCGTGCAAGGGAAGCGCCCTGATTTATAAGAAGCATCGGGGGTCTAGGAAGTTCCCTCACGAAGGGAGTTTGCTGGGTTCCTCCTTCCAGCCTGTCCTAACTGCCCCCACCCCCTTAGGGACATGCACAGTCTCCTCCTCACACAGGGGGCTGAGGTGGCCCCCGGCCCGCTGTCCCCATTGGCTCATGTCTGCCCCATGAGGACTCAGACAGTCCCGGAGGGGCGGGTTGGGCGTGGAGCTGGCTGGGCAGGGGGAGGCCTCAGGTGCTCCGTGTGCCTCTAGGGCCTAGGGGAGGGTGGGGAGGACATGGCAAACCTGTCAGTCAGGGACACGTGGCGGCGGCCAGGCTCCGGGCTCGGCAGGACGGGGCCCGGTGAGGGTAGCGGCCTCCTGGCACTGGTATCGCTGCAAAAGGCAGGATATCAAGAGGTAGAGGTATCAGAGAGAGTGCAGGGCTTCTTCTCTGGAGCAGATGCTGGCCTGCTGCCCAGGTCACGCTCTGCCCCCACCCCCTAGTCCACCTGTTAAAACCCGAACCCCCAACCCCCGTGGGCTAGATCTGGCCTTCGGAAGAGAATTAGGGTCCTGAGCAGAGGTGCCCGCCCGGTGACAGGATGGGGCCCCCTCAGGGCCGGGCCCACCCAGAGCTCTCACAGCGAGAAGGCAGCCGTCTGTGAGCCAGGAGGGTCCTCACAGGAAACAGATCTTGGTCGACCTTGGCCTGAGGTTTCCCCGTCTCCAGAGCTGTGAGAAATAAATCAGTTCCTGGTATTGGGGCTGGTGGTTTCCCACCGTCTGTGCACAGGCCTGGGTTGGCCTTCGGGAATTCCCCAACAGTGTGTGAGAAAGGTGCCCTCAGCGTGAAGCGTGAGGTGAGAGGCAGTTCTCAGACGGGCCAGTGGGTCTCGGGCCCCGGTCTCTGGGGTGCCCTTCTGGCAGCCAGGGTGGACGAGCACAGGAGCTAGAGAACAGCACAGCAGGGATTGGCTTCTCAAGTGGTTTCATTTCTTTGCTTTTGTTTGTTTCTTTGTTTTTGCTTTGGGCCACACTGGGCTGCGTCTTGGGCTCACTCCTTCCTCCGTGCTCAGGGAGGACTCTGTGTGCCGTAGACTAAGCCCAGGTCGACTGGGTGCAAAGCAAGCCCCTCGCCGCTGTGCCGCCCCGAGCTTCCCCAAGCCCCAGCTCTGAGATCAGGGTGAGGGGTGCTCACGTCCTCATGGGGGGGGCTCCCCTCTGGGAGGTGGACTGCCAAATGCTCATCTTTGTCCCTCATGGGCGAGTAACTGGTTCTCTGGCCTCCTCTGGGCAGAGGACTCATCCCATTCACGGGGACTCACCCTCTTAATTTAATCACCTCCTGAGGCCACATACACACTGGGGGTGGATCAACTTGGGGGAATTAACACTCAGTCCCTAGCAGATTTTTATTCTTTACAATAGTCTTAGCACTTTAAAAAAATGGTTTTGGTGAGAACAGATGACTGGTTAAAGAAACTTTGGTACATCTACACAATGGAATACTATGTTGCTGTCAGAAAAGATGAAGTCATTAAATTTACATACAAGTGGTACTACATGGAAAGTATCATGCTAAGTGAAATGAGTCAGAAAGAGAGGGATAGACAGAAAGATTGCATTCATCTGGGGAACATAAAGTAACAAAATAGGAGACTAACACCCAAGAATAGCTGAGATAAGTACCAGGAGGTTTACTTCATGGCTTGGAGGCCAGCTGCACTCACTAGGGGAAAAGGCAGCTCACATAGAGAAGGGAGCACTAAATAAAGGGTGTTGGGAGGATCCTCCCAGGATGGGAGATGCATGCTGAAAGTAGACTATAGACCGAACATGATTGCCACTCAATGCCTCTTTTGCAAACCACAGCACCCAAAAGGAGACAGAGAACAAAAGGGAATGCCCTGCCACAGAAGCAGGGTGGGATGGGGGAATGGGGGTGGGAGGGATACTGGGATCATTGGTGGTGGAGAATGGGCACTGGTGTAGGGATGGGTACTCGATCATTATACAACTGAAACCCAAGCACACAGTTGTGTAAGTCTACAACTGTTACAACTTACAGTTGTTACAACTTAGAGTTGTGTAAGTCTACAACTGCACCTCATGGTGTTTCACTGATAAAAACTAAAAAAATTGTTTTTGGGCCATACCTGGTGATGTTTAGGGGTTACTCCTGGCTCTGCACTCAGGAATCATTCCTGTTTTAGTGCTGGATGCCGCGGATTGAACTCCAGTTGGCTGGGTGCAAGGCAAGTGCCCTGTTCATGTACTATTGCTCTGGCTCCTATCAGCTAATAGATTGAAACCCAAACTCCTCCCTCTGCTCCCCTCCCCCCTTCACATCCTCCTCCCCTCCCCTCCCATTCCTCCTCCCTTTCCCACTACACCCCTCCCTCCTCTCCTCTCCTCTGCACTCACATTCTCCTCTCCCCTTTTCGTTCCTCCCCTCCCCCTTTTTGTTGCTGTTGTGGTGTTGACTGGGTCACACACGCTTGGGCGCGGTGCTCCCTGGGGTTTGCACGCCTGTGACTGAGGTGCTCTCCAGGATTCCAGCGTTTGGGGTGTGCCACACAACCTGCTGTGCCCCAGGGGGCTCTGTGGAGTCACGTGCGTTTCAGTTGCGTGATTGATTGCACACATCTGGGTGCGGTGTGCTGGCGGCCCCACATGAGAGCGTGGCACCAAGGACCCCAGTGACACAGGTGCTAAGACCTCGTTTGGGGCATGGCCCAGGGGTGGGAGCCACGGGCCTCACGCTTGGGTGCTCTGTGCCGTCTCAGGTCCTACTGACTTCCATTGCGGGAGTGTTGCTTGTATCGACCGTGAAAAATGAGCAAAAATCTCTAATCTCCACTATGAAAAATGGGCAAACACTCAATGCCTCTTTTGCAGACCACAACACCCAAAAGGAGAGAGAGAACACAGGGGATTGCCCTGCCACAGAGTCAGGGGGGGATGGGGGGGATGGGGGTGGGGGGATATTATCCATGGTGGTGGAAAATGGGCACTGGTGGAGGGATGGGTATCTGGTCATTGTATAATCTAAACCCAAGCACAAAAAATTGTAAATCTACAACTGTACCTCATGGTGTTTCACTAATAAAAAAAAAATTAGAAAAAAAAGAAAAATGGGCAAACATCTCCGTCTACACGGAGGCACCCAGCGAACGCCGTGCGCCCACGCCCCCATCATCCCCATCCCCATCCCAGAGAGGAGACCCCTCGCAGGAAGGGAGAGAGATTGCGCCCGGCCAGGGGCGGGTCTGGACCTGACCGCAGCCTGTCGCTCGGCTGCAGTGGCCCAGGACAGCAGTCTCAGAACTGACCTCGGGGCTCCTCCCGAAGGAGCGCCAGGCCCGACAGCGCACCCGGGTGCAGGCGGTGAGGGCGAGGGGGCACCTGCTCAGAGCCCACCCAGCCTAAGTAGCCTCCCGAGACGCTCCCAGCAACCCGGCCCAGGCTGAGCCCAAGCGCCGACAGGCAGACACAATTGGTGCTCAGGTGCGGATGGGGTCGACTTTGGGCTCCTGCGCTCCTGCCCTGGGAGCTGTCCCGCGCCCCTGCACCCTCCCCACCTCGGGTACCCTGGACGCCCCCGGCTGTGCCTGCAGGATCAGACCTGGCCACCAGGTGGCAGACTCCGCCCGCGTATCTCGGGAGAGCGCAGCGCGGGTCGGGTCGAGCATCCCTTAAGGCCTGGCCAAGTTTTGCAAGCTCAAGCCCACAACTGGAGGCTTCCTGGGGAGGGGTCTTCTAGGAACTCAGGGTGTGTTCCCAGCGTGTGAGAGCGGGGCGGTGCGGGTGTCCAGCCCCTGGTTCAGAGGCCGAGCTGCCTGTCACCTCGCTCAGCGCACACAGGACAGAGAGTCCGGGGTAGGGTGGGGTGGGGTGGGGTGTGGGAGGGTGTCACGGGTGAGTGTGGCTGCCCGCGGATCGTGGGTGCCCAGCGCATTTCCGAGCCCCAGAAATGTCACAAACGACTTTCGCCCTTGTCTCCTGACCAGCCGGCTTTGGACCCTGGATTCAATTTTCATAAAGACATTCCTTCTGGAGCAAGCACACATCAGTCACGGGAATTAATGATCTCTTTCTAATAGGGATTAAGAGGCAATATTAATGATAAGTAGGCCTCCCGGGTGGCTGGCCAGTGGGTTGGACATTGTGGGCGACTAGCAGCAGGAGCTGAAGGCCGTGGCTCTTTGAGAGCCTGAGGAATAGAGTCTCCCCTCCCCTCCCGGATGAGGGGCTCCGCTGGACTTGGTCTCTCTCCTGCAAGCTCGCATTGGCCAAATTTACCTGCTCTGGAGTGCCAGGCCAGAGGTGCCCCCCATGCGTTTTGCAGTGGAGAGGAGGGTGTCCTGGAGAGAGCTGGCTGGACAGGGTTAAGGATTTGCTTTCCTGAGCCTCTGAGGGATTCCCTGCACGAAGCCAAGGGGGGTGTCAGGGGCTGGGGAGAGCCCGGATAACATGCACTGGAGCCCCTGAGGGACAGGCAAGGTAGGGCAGGGCCAGGGGAGGTGCGGGCTTCTCCTTGGCACAACCAGTTCCACCTGGCCACACATGACACACACCTGGAGAAGCTGGCAGGGCAGGGGAACAGGGGCGAGGATGAAGATTGGCGGCTGTGGTTCCTGGGAGCACGGGACAGGAAAGATGAAAAAAAAAATAAATAAATGAAATCACGAAAAAAAAAAGAAAGAAAAGGGGTGAGAGAAGCTGGGAGACAAGTCCAGGCCTGGACACGTGCCCCTCACACTGAAGGCCCAAAGCTGAACCCCTGAACCACACAGACCCCCCCCCCCAGGCACCTCGAGTGACCTGAGATGCTGGCCCCAGCACCGCTGGCCTGGGTCTAAGCATGCAGCTGTCTGGCTCAATAATTCAGTGGCCCTGGGAGTGACCCCTGAGCACTGCTTGGGTGCTCCTCTCCAAAGGAGGGGTGAGAAAAGTAAGGGATGGGAAAGTAGAAGGAAGGAGGAGGAGAGAGGGGGTGGCAGGGATGGGGGTGGGGTGGGGTGGGAGAGACTCCGTGCAGGCTGCCGTTGCAGATGCACATCCCTCGTCACATCCTGTAACTCAGAATACAGGGAAAAAGGCAGCTAGAAATACCCCTTCGGTTCCCGGTCACCTTATGAGGGGATTAGGGTTGGATTTCCAGGGGGGCACTGGGCTAGCAGTAGGTCCTCCTGTTCTCTGATCCAGGCTGGCTTTCTAGATTTGCTCTTTGAAAAATCATGGCCTCTTGGGAGACAGATGGACATGACGGATAGTGCCAGGAGGGGGCAGGACACAGAGAGGAAAGCATGCTGGCCTGAAGAGGCGCAGAACACGGCCGGGAAAAGACTCCTCTGACCAAACAGGTACCTCTGGGGACAGAGTCCAGTCTTCCTGGGGAATGCGTGCTGTGGGGGCAGGGGTGGGGCACGCGCTGCCCCTGGGGCCGGTTACTGGGACCCTGAGAGCTTGCTGGTTCTGTAAGCGGAGACAGGGTAGCACATCCTGGGCACTTTCTCAAAACTTGGCCCCTAGAGTCCTTGATAAAAGACTGAGGGTCGAAGAGTGTATGTGTGTGCGCGTGCGTGAGTGCGTGTGTGTGTGTGTGTGTGTGTGTGTGTGTGTGTGTGTGTGTATTAGTAGAATGGGTGAAAGATAATGGTTTCTCTTGGGACAAAGTAAGCGCTTGCCGTGCCTGCAGCCAACCCGGGTTCGATCCCCACCATCCCATATGGTCCTTTGAGCACTGTCAGGAATAATTCCCTAGTGTAGAGCCAGGAGTAACCCCTGAGCATTGCAGGGTGTGATCCAAAATGACAGATAAGGAAATAAAACAAAGAAAAGTATGAAAAAAATAGTCTCCCCAAAGATATTATTCAAGATCCCTCAAAGGGTCACGTACCGCTGAGATTCAGATCACCTGGAAGACAGAGACTGTCCACTCCCACTGTCCTGCATTGTGTGGTCAACACACTCACACATAATCTACATGCAAGCATACACATACACATGGACACATGTACTTTGAAGAGAAAGATGATTTGAGATGGGGCTTCCTCTGGCAGAGCACGCTTCTTTTCTCCAGTAGGAGTTATGCCAGAGGTGAGAAAAGACAGGAAGTGCCCAGTGCTCCAGCCGATGCTCTAGCGAGGCCTGGCACACCTGCTCTGTGGGGTCCTGAGTTCCAGGACCTGTGTGGGGACGGCGGCAGGCAGATGTGTTCCACAGACTGGCAGGCACCTAGGTGAACCTGCTCAGAGAATGGAACAGGGACACGCCCGAGAGCTGCCCAAACTACCCCTGTCTAAGCACTGTCCCTCCTGATCTTTTTGTTTTTTAAATGAATGTACCATTTTTTTGATGAAGTCTGTGGTTTACAGAAGTCAAGCATGTAATTTGGGGTGGTCATGTATTCTGTAGTTTTAACACCACTGAGTAACATCTTGCTCTGGCCTTAGTGTTGCTACACCATGATTAACTGAAGCCCATAGAACCGGGAGGAGGGGGCTGGGGGGGGCGGTCCTTTTTCCTTTTGAACAGCTCTGTGAATTGTAACCAGTGCTCCTCTAACTACTATTACATCACCACACAGAATATCTCTCTGCTGGTTCACCTCCTGGGTTCCCTGGTTTATCCTTCCCTCTCCCTGACAGCCCCCGATCTTTCTACTGCCTGAGCTTTCCTGTTTCAGAATGTTGTTGCTACAATCAGACAGTGAGTAGTCAGTCTCTCTCTCTCTCTCTCTTCCCCTCCTCTCTATAAAATATACATATATGTATATTAGAATGATTATAAATATATAGCCATTCTAATAGGTATGCCACGGTATCATTACTTTATTTACCTACTACTTTTTGGATTTGATGACCCCTGCAGTACTCAGATCCTACATTCCAGGTCAGTTCTCAGAGGTCAGGGATCACTCTTGACAGTGCTGGGGGGACCAAACCCAGGATCCCAGTGTGTGAATACTTGCACATTGGAGCTCTGGCCTGGTTTTCGTGGCTTAAATTCACCTTCCCATATGCTATGGATATCTTGTCACACTCTTACTTGGCATCGATATAGCTTCTTTGGTGAGGAAGTGTTTCACCTTTTAAAACTGGTTGCTTTTGTTTTTTAAATGTTAACTTCTAAGAGTTCTTTGTGTACTCTGGATAAATTGTTCTTTTTTCAGGTGTGTGTCTGGCAGATACTTTTTTGCCAGCCTGCGGTCTGTCTTGCCATTCTCACCCTAGGGCCTTTCACAGAGCCGCGTTTCATCTTCGTCGAGTCTCGCTGAAGCATCTGTTTCCTTCTCTGTTTCCTTCTCTTCCTTCACCTTTCACAACACGAGCGAGCCAAACTGCCCCCCTTTCTCCTGGGCCGAGGGCTCACTGGACCTGTTCCCTAACGCCGGAAGGCAAACCTAAGAGCTGCCTGAGCATGTCGGGGAGGCCAGTAAGCCACATGGGGGGGGCTTTCCTCTCAATGAACAAACTTGAGTTACTTCTTTGCTCATGCCAAGCAGCGCTTGGGGGATCAGGCGCTTGGGGATACTCTGCCAACCACGCAGGATTGTTCAGTGGAGCTGGACGCTCCTGGGGACATGTGCTGCCCATGCCCAGTGGTGCCGGAGCCACTCGGGCCCCTCAGGTGGTGCTCTGGGGAGCACGGGAGCCTGGGGATGTGACTGCACTCCAGCCTTTCGACTCAATGCACTATTTTCGACGGGGAGGAGTTTTTGCTTTTCAAGATCTAAGAAAAGTTACCAGAGGTTGACTACACTGGTCACTGTGAGTTACGACCGATGCATTCTGATTGCCAAAGCCCATGGCCTACTCAGCTTTCCTTTATTTCACTTCCTGTGCTTCTGCCTTTCTGTTCTGGGAGCCCATCCGAGATGCCACATTGCAGTGGCAACCTTCGATTCCTCTGGGCTGGGGCATTGTCAGGCTATCTGGGTTCTGGATGTCCTTGCCACTTGGAGGAGCACTGGACAGGGAGTGTTTGGACACCCTCAGTGGGCCTTGCCTGCTGTGGATTCCACAGGAGTGATGGGTTTTGAAGACCATGAAGGTAAAGTGGCATCCTGCCACACGCCATTCAGGGGGAGGTCTGGGACCCCTCATTCCCAGTGTGAGCGCTCAGCGCCCATTCACGCCTGCAGGCTGTGGGCTGTCCTGACATCAGCCTGAGGGGTGGAGGGAGGCAGGGGCAGGTCTTTGGCTCTTGGGCTGTGTGACTGGCGAGAGATAACATGGACGGGCGAAGGAGCCAGTCTCCATGCAGGTGGGGTTTCCCCAACATCTGCTGACTGTCTCAGGGCTGTCCATTTTTCAAAAAAAATTTTTATTAGTGAAACACCATGAGGTACAGTTGTAGACTTACACATTTTTGTGCTTGGGTTTCAATTATACAATGATCAAATACCCATCCCTCCACCAGTGCCCATCCTCCACCACCATGGGTCCCAGTATCCCTCCCAGCCCCCCAACCCCCCGTCCCACCCTGCCTCTGTCGCAGGTCATTCCCCTTTGTTCTCTCTATCCTTTTTGGGTGCTGAGGTTTGCAAAAGAGGCATTGAGTGGCAATCATGTTCGGTCTATAGTCTACTGTCAGCATGCATCTCCCATCCTGGGAGGATCCTCCCAACACCCTTTATTTGGTGCTCCCTTTTCTCAGGGCCGTCCTTGGGGCAGACCTCCCAGTACACCTGAGTCTTGGCTAGAACGGGGCCTTGGCCAAAGCACTCCTGGGTCCTGGCAGGCTGATGGCCACCACGTTGCTCTTCTTTCCTCTCCCTGCCCTCTCCTCCAGGCCATCCTCCCTCCTACATTGCTGCCACCCCTTCCTTCCCCTGGGCAGAGCCAGGGATGCCTCGGTCTCCTGATGAGGTGGCACTGGTTTCCAGGCCATCAGAACAAGGAGAGTGTATTGAAACTAACCCCTGAGCATCTATCACCAATTTACCAGAAAGAGCCTTTTGTCCTTCTGGATCCTTTGCTCCAGGTAGGAAGAGCAGCAAGAACAGGCTGGGCCCGTGTGGTGTCACACACAGGCCTTGTCACACTCCTTACCTTCTGTGGGAGGGAGGCCGGGACCCTCTGGACTGGAAATCGGGTGTTTGGGGACAGGACCTCATGTAACTGAATGAATTCGCTGCTGGAGGGTTGACCTGCTGGCCCAAGAAGGAGTTTCACAAGGTTATCAGGACAATATATCCTAGAAGAATTTCTCTGCTGGGGTGTTGGGCACAGCTGGCTAGACAAGGTGATATATGCACTGGAGGTGGGAGAATACGTCTAAGAGTCCAGTCACAGCAGTCACTGCAGTGTCGGGTGCTGAGGCAGGTTTGGATGCAGGATCGTGGTGCATTTGGCTTATTTTTTATTCATAAAAATGCAGAGAATCCTCCCTGGCAGTATCCAGAAAACCTTTCTGGTGTCCAAGAGGCCCCACCAAGTCATGGGCCTGCATCGAGCTCACTGAGGGAACGGTCCTGCCTGGTGGTGGCTTATGGGAGGTGGGAACAGCTCCTGAGCAGCCTGTGAGGTGACTTGTGACCCTCACTCCCAACATGGGGGTGGAGGAGGCATGTGGGAGCTGCCGCGAGGCCGAGTCCCAATTGCCTCCCTTTTGCCTCAGAAGCGTTTCTGCTTCACACGCCCCATGAGATCTAAGGCTTTCTCTGAGGCCGCTGCACTGTGGCGCTGAGTGGGCTCTGCCCCACGGTGGCCCCAAACCCTGCTGCCATCACCTGGTCCTTTGGTTTCAGTGACCTTTTAAGGGAGAGGGCATGTAGAGCCCATTCATTTGTTTCCTCTGTCTTCAACTATCTCAGTCAGGGAGAGGCTGGGTGAACTGGTCATTGGCGGGATCCTGGAGGGGTGGCCCTTCAGTGACCAGGTTCACAGGCACCAGCTAAGGCCAGAGGAAGGTCTGGTGCACAGAGGTGACCTTGCGAGGAAGGGTTCCTCATGGGAGGTCACGGAGCAGCCAGGGGGCTGTGATGTGGATGGGATCTTCCAGCTGTGCCCCTGACTCAGAAACCTCACAGTCCTTCCCATCGAAAGTACAGAGCTCGAAGCACAGAGCTACGAGAAGTCCCCTGGGATGTCCTTTCCAGCAGAGACAAAGACACTCACAGGACAGAGGCAGAAACCTTCCAAGACCGGGTCCCTCTGAGTGAGGTGAGGGCAGGGTTCAGGAGCCTCTGGGCTCTAAGAGTAATTTTTTTTTTTTTGCTTTTTGGGTCACACCTCGCATTGCACAGGGGTTACTCCTGGCTCATGCATTCAGAAACTACTCCTGGCAGTGATCGGGGGGCCATATGGGATGCTGGGAATCGAACCCGGGTCGGCCGCGTGCAAGGCAAGTCCCTCCCTGCTGTGCTATCGCTCCAGTCCCTCTAAGAGTATTTTCAAGGTGTTTCAACCTCACTGACTTTCCTGACCACCTTGTGCACAGAATTGAATCCAACTGTTCTCTCTTGTTGCTTACACGGTAGGAAGGTACTGATTCCTGCTTAGCAGCGTGTCCTTTGACTAATCCCTTCTCTGCCACTCAGTCTCCTTGTCTTTAAGGGAAGGGGTCAGCTGGTACATTGAGCTAAGAGGAGTCTGTAGCTGCATAAATGAGGTGACCGTGTACCAGACCTGGACAGCCAGAAGTGGCATTTGTACTAATAATTAGAAAATTTCCACAGGAATATTTAGTTTTAGGACATGGATTAACTTTTTGTTTTCCCAATGCGGAGTCAGTATGGGACTTTAAGCTGTGGAATAATAAGAAAACCTAGGTGCTCGGAGGTGGATAACTCCGGAGGGGCTGTGGGTGACCGCGAGGGAGAGAGTTAAGGTACTAGCCCTTAGTAACAGGTTATTTTATTATTCATAGTATTTTAGAGAAATTCTAGTACCTTATGTAGGAAATGTAAAAAGATTTACCTCTAAATATGTTTTACATAAAACACTCAAAATACTAAATTATGGGAGATGAAACGGATGAAAATAAATCCAGGGGCTGGAGTGATAGTATAGCAGGTAGGGCATTTGCCTTGCCCATGGAAACACAATTTGATCCCAGGCATTGTGGTCCCTTGAACCCTGCCAGGAGTAATCCCTGAGCACAGAGCCAGGAGTAAACCCCTGACATCACCTGGTGTGGCCCAGAAACTATATATATATATATATATATATATATATATATACATATATATATATCTCCATATGCTGGAGCAGTTGGCAGTCACTAGAATAAAGCTATAACATAATAACAGGAAATGTAGTGTGACTATACAATTAAGTGAAAAAAAAAGCCATTTGCAATACCTGAAGAACTTCAGGATTCTATTTTTATTAAACTACATGGGATCTTATTCCTAGAAAAAAAGATAATATGTTTTGGCATGCTAATATTGTTTTCCTTAAATGGTGGGATTATGGTACTTTTTACCTTTCTGTGTTTTGCTATATTTACTAAAATGTCTATGACCCTATGTATTAAAATCATGCATATGACATACCGTGTAACTTTTGTAGTATATGACTGTACAAGAGTACGGTCCATGTTGTCAGTGTGAATTGATCAGAGATATCACACAAAGTAGTGATGGAAAATTTGTTGGTTTGAGGAGCTCAGCTTTCCACCCTGAACTTTCTATTTTGAGGGGCTTGTTTTGGTTTTTGGGCCACAACCAGTGGTGCTCAGGGCTTACTCCTGGGAGTAAGAAACTCAAAATTTAGTATTTTGAGTGTTCCTAATTTTTACGTAAAACATATTTAGAGGTAAATCTTTTTACATTTCCTAGACAAGGTCCTGGGCTGGAGTGATAGCACAGCGGTAGGGCGTTTGCCTTGCACGCAGCCAACATGTCCGACCCGAGTTCGATTCCTCCGCCCCTCTTGGAGAGCCCGGCAAGCTCCCGAGAGTATCTCGCCCGCACGGCAGAGCCTGGCAAGCTCCCTGTGACGTATTCGATATGCCAGACACAGTAACAACAAAGTCTCCAATGGAGACGTTACTGGGCCCGCTCGAGCAAATCGATGATCAACGGGAGGGCCTTTACTTTTTACTTTTAGACAAGGTCCTGACAGGGCTCGAGGTGGAACTGGGGATTGAGACAGGGTTGGCTGCACGCAAAGCAGTGCCTAACCCCTAGACTATCCCTCAGGCCCAATACTCCAGAGCTTCTAAGTGCAAGGCCACCCAGCAAGCGAACCATTTGCCTTCCTGCCTCTGAGAGGAGCACTCTCTAGGAACTGTGAGCACGTGAGCCCGTGAGTCACAATCAGCACACCCACTTCCAGAGGCATGAGTCCCTGGCCACGGGGGAGGGAGGGGTCTGCGGTGCAAGAGACGCAGTGGCCAGTACCTGCAGCCGAGTGGTCTCCTCTGCCCACCAGTCTTCAAACTCTTTCTGCAGTTTCACTTTGGTTTTGTCCATGAGCAACTGCAAGTGCTCGATCTCCACCTTCAGGGCTTTCAGATGCATGAAGTCGGTCTTATAGCTGCAGTGGAATCAGAGAAGCATTTCCCAAGTCAGCGGTGGCCCAGAGAAGGGACCACTATGACAACGAGGGTTGGAGGGGTCGCTGAGAGTGGGTAAAGGACCAAATATGGTGGCCTCTCCGGACCTGTATTGTAAACCACAATGCCCCAAAGTAGGGTGACAATAAGAAGAAAAGTGCCTGCCATAGAGGCAGGTGGGGGTGGTGGGAGGGAAACTGGGGTCATTGTGGTGGAAAGTGTACACTGGGTGTTGGAATACTGTTCGACAAACCTGATCATAAAAGCTTTGCAACTACATATCTCACGGTGATTCAATAAAAGAATTAAAATACAAGCAAACAAGCAAAAATTTACTGGCAGGGAGGGAGGGCTGTGAGGGGCCCTAATAGGCCCAAGAGGCTGCAGAGCCTGTACCCCAGAGGCCGGCACTGCTGCTCCAGGACCAGGAGCTGGGAACCCTAGGCGCCCTGAGGGGCTGGATGTGGTGCCAAGGCCAGGACCCAAAGAAGGGAAGCAGAGTCAGTGTCATTGTCCAGCTGGTTCTTGGAGTACCGTGTGTGGAGTGTCACCCACTCCCAGTATGCGGCACCTTAGGGGCAGGCACTGGACAGACGATGGACTCACTCCTCTTCACCCAGGATGAAGAAGATGCTTCCATCGCCGCTTCCCAGATTGGCAGAGGAGGTTCAGTAACCCACTCTTTAAGGTGGGGGGAGTCAACGGGCCAGGCAGGATTTGAACCCGGACACCAAGTCCTGGACTCACATTTCACTGGTTCGCTTGGATGCCGAGGACCGATCTGCTGGCATGTGGGTGGGTTTGGGGACTGGATCCAGGAATCGGAAGAAACTCTCCAACAGGAGAAGGGTGGGTAGTCAAACCCGAAAGGCAGTCTGCCTTAGGAGATGAGGCAGGAATACGGACCAAGGAGCAAGATGAGGGTGGCATGGATATATGGGAGAGTGGATTGGGAAGAAACGGAGAAGGATGGGCGTGAGGGAGCAAACCCAGGTGCTGGAGAGCAGCAGCAGGACATGGAGCATGTGGCATGGGAGATGGAGGATGGAAGGAGAAGACACAGGCTGAGCCCAGTGGTGATTGGGAGTGGCCTGGAGCCCGGTGCACGGGGCTGCTCTCATGCCTATGATGGCGTGGGTGCATGGGGGTTTGGGTCAGCCCAGGGGGCAGGTCTGGTCGTGACTCTGAATCTCTCCTGGGGGTGGAGGAGGCGGCAGACATTTGTTGGAGGCAGCTGGAGCGCTTGGTGAGGATCCGCGTACACGCTACGTCTCAGGGAGGACCGCGTGTGAATGTGACAGTCCTTGTCCTGTAGGTCCCCTGGGACCTAGAGGGCTGCGGGAGAGTGCCAGGCCCGCAGTGCAGTGCCTCTCCGGCTTGGGCTCTGCAGCACGGAGGCCACTGTGCTGATGCGCCTGGCAGCCCCTAGATGGCAGCAGGAGACAAGACTAGGCTGCTTCCCAGAGGGCACCTCGGGCTGGGGAGGGGTCATCTGCAACCCCCCTCTGAGGGGTGAACCCAGGTGCTGGGCCCTAGCATGGCCTTCTGCTTTCCTTTGCAACCTCGCACGACGTGGATGGTTCCTGCAATCACATTCGTTCAGCTATTTGAGCTTCGGGGCCCACTTCCCTAGAGCAGCTTCAGGGTCAAGGTGTGGCTCCCCTGCTACACCACACGCTCCCTAAGACAGACAGACAGACAGACAGACAGACAGACACACACACACACACACACACACACACACCCCTCCAGGCTATCCTCTAGAGCACAGTGGGCTGGGGTGAGGGTGTGTGTATCCAAAAGAAAGGAAGGAAACTTTTATTGCAGCATTGCACAAGAGCTGAAATCAGGAAATAACTCAAGTGTCCGAGAGCAGATGACTGGATAAAAAATTTATGGCCCTGGGGGAGAAGGCAGTTGAGCTAGAGAAGGGAACACTATGGCAATGATAGTTGGAAATGATCCCTCTGGATAAGAACACTGGTGGAGGGATGGGTGTTCGAACAATGTATGGCTGAAACTCAATCATGAAAGCTCTGTAACTGTATCTCATGACGATTTAATAAAATAAATTAAAAAAGGAGAACTGCATGTTGAAAGTATGTAAAGGATCAAACCTCTTAGTATCTGCATTGTAAGCCACAGTGACCAAAAGGAGAGGGAGAGAGAGAAAGAGGCAGGCTGGAATTGGGGGCGGGGGTTAGGGGGAGGGAAACTCGGGAGACTGGTGGTAGGAAATGTGCACTGGTGGAGGGATCGGTGATGGAAAACTGTGTGACTGGAACCAATCACGAACACCTTTGTAACTGTGCATCTCATGGTTGACCATTCATGTACACAGTGAACACTACTTGGCTATAAGGAAAGATAAAATAATGCAATTTGCTGCTATGTGAATCGGTGGGTAGAACTGGAGGGGATCGTGCTGAGTGAAATCAGCCAGAAGGATCTGACAGATACAGAATGATCTCTATTATATGTGGGACATAAAAGCACAACAGATGACCAAAGGCAACTGAACCTGAAAACTGGTCTACAGAACTGAATTTACCAAGGACTGGGGCCAGGGGTGGCTGGGAGGGACCCCGAGACAGTGGTGGAGAGGCAGAAACTCTGGTAGAGGGTGTGGTGCTGAGACGCTGTATGCCTGAAACCCATCACTGACAGAACTGTAAATCACAGTGTCTAACATAAATTAAAATGAAAAAAATTTTAAAGGAAACCTTTTCTTTTCCTTTTCCAGCTGTGCTCGAAGCTTCTCCTCTACCGGGTCTGGTACTGGGGACACAGTGGTGTTTTCTGAGATGCCTGCAGAAGAGAAATGCTATTGGATTACTCCAAGGAAGAAAAGGGAAAGAAAAAAGGAGGTATTTAGTGGCGACAGAGTCCAAGAGCTTCCTGCAGGGAAAGGGCCTGTGAATTCTTCCTGTTTCTCTTCTGTCCCTTCTGCGGCCTGAGCCGCTCTTAGAAGAGAGTTCTTTGTTTCTCTCAGCTAATGCTTTCGCTCATTTCCGTTCAAATGAGGGTTTGCAAACTCTTGTTTCCCAGCCCTTCACAGACCAAGGACTCCTCCACACTCTCTCATCTTTCTTTGCACTACTTGAGGTGTGGATTTGTCCAGATGCAAAGTGCATTTCCTGTGCTAATTTTCCGTTAAGGACGTGAGCCCCCGAATTTACCCCTGAATTTACCCCGTAACACTAACAGGTGCCATACTTGGACACCTCACCACGAAGCCTCTTTGGTACCTTGGGCTGGGCTTGTGTGCTAGCCTGGGTGAAGAGGGGTGGGAGGTGCTGTTTATTGTTCTGAGGCATTTCATGGTGGTGCTGCTGCATTTTTTTTTGGTGGAGGATTTGGGGCCACACTTGTTGGTGCCCAGGACTTGCTCCTCCTGGTGCTCAGAGGTCACTCCCAGCTGTGCTCAGGGGACTGTATGAGGTGCCCAGGATCAACTGGCTCAGCTGCATGCTGATAGGCTCAGCACTACCTCTCTGGTCCTCTCCTGTCTGAGGTTTCTTACTGGTCACACAGCCCTTCTCTTCACTCCAAGGAAGGAGCCCTACTTTGGCTCTGGTACTGATGGGTCTCATCAGTTGGAGGTCTGACGTCCTTTGTCCAGACAGGTCACTGAGTCAGAGAGCTGATGCTGCTTCAAGGAAAGCCCCATGGCAGATTCCATATTTGCTTAGAGTAAAGGGCCCTGGCTTCAGAAATTCCTTCTGACAATTTGGACAGGTGGTTTTCTGCTTTTGGTCCAGATGTGATGGTGGGGAACTTGGGGCTTTTTATACTGCCACACAGCGTGGTCGGCTGCCCTGAGTCCTCATGCCGAGCTGAGTCCTGCCCGATTACCTTTTCCTCACCTCTGCTTTGGAACAGCATCCTAGGGCTCCCTTCTTACCCTGATGTTCTCTGTGGATATGTACTTAGAGGGGCCACACCTGGTGCTTCTCAGGCGGCGTGTGATATGGGGGTGAAACTCAGGGCCTTGCTTATATGCTAGGCACGCGCTCTTCCTCTTGAGCCATTTCCTGCCCTGGTTCTTAGTAAGGTAAAAGGTAAAGGCCCTCCCGTTGATCGTCGATTTGCTCGAGCGGGCCCAGTAACGTCTCCATTGGAGACTTTGTTGTTACTGTGTCTGGCATATCGAATACTCTCGGTAGCTTGCCGGGCTCTCCGAGAGGGGCGGAGGAATCGAACTCGGGTTGGCCATGTCGGCCGCGTGTAAGGCGAACGCCCTACCGCTGTGCTGGTTCTTAGTATATTTGAAAAATAATTAATAACAACAGCAGGAGCGAAAAAACAATGAGACAACTTGGGGTGGATGAGAGTACAAGAGGTAGGGCACTTGCCTCACGCATGACTAACGTGGGTTAGGTTTCCCCTGGCACCCCAGATGGTCCCCCAATAGCTGCCAGGAGTGATACCTGAGCGCAGAGCCAGGAGTAAACCCTGAATACCGCCAGGTGTGACTCAACTCCCCCTGTCCCCCCAAACTGACACATCTTGTGTCTGGAGCTTTATTCTTAGGCCATCTCTGGCTGGTTCCCTCCTCGGACATGTTCATTTTCTCAAAGATTTTGAGCCAAGAGTATTAGATCTGGTTCTAGTCCTCCATAGAGGTCTGAGGGACTGGGCTGAGAAAGACCCCTCCCCCCAACATTATTAAGTGTGTATTTCTGCAGCAGCTCAGTTCCACCCATGGCCATTTCTTGAGCACCTTCTCACTCTGGTTTCTGCCAAGACCTGGGCACAGGATCCAAGACCACTTACTTCATTGCAAATTCCCAAAATAATGACCCAGGAAAATCATTACCATCTCATGTCTGTTAAATTCTGGGACTCAGAGAGAGCATTGCCAGTCACTTGTCTGAGCTATGTCGTTTTGTCACTGACCCCTGTGGAGTCTGGTCAATTTAAACATATGCCTTTTTTTTTTTTTTTTTGCTTTTTTGGTCGAGATACTCTCGGTAGCTTGCTGGGCTCTCTGAGAGGGATGGAGGAATCGAACTTGGGTCGGCCATTCGGCGATGCACAGGGGTTACTCCTGGTTCATGCACTCAGGAATTACTCCTGGTGGTGCTCAGGGGACCATATGGGATGCTGGAAATCGAACCTGGGTTGGCCGCATGCAAGGCAAATACCCTACCTGCTCCAGCCCTGGTGCCTATTTTTTGAGTAGTTAGATGCCCAAACACATCCCATTTCAAGATGATTGGCCTTTTGATCCCAAATTTAACACGTGCTTTTTCTCTGGTCTGCAGTGAGGATCTGATTCCACCTGGCCTCTGATTTCTCCCTCAGCCCCCTTAATATCTTAACTGGACCTCTTCAGTCCTTGTCTTCACGATCATGATCACGCCCCCCTTAATGTCTTAACTGGACCTCTTCAATCCTTGTCTTCATGATCACGATCATCCTGTTGTTCCTCGATTGCCTCGAGCAGGCCCCAGTAACGTCGTCCTAGCCCTGAGATTTTAAAAAGTGCCATATTCAAGGCTCTTTCAAGGTTAGGAGAATGAGACCCATCATTGTTACTGGCATTTGGCATATTGGGTGTGCCACGGGGAGTTTGCCAGACTCTGCCGTGTGGGCAGGTTACTTTCAATAACCTGCCAGGTTGTCCTTGTCTTACTCAATGATAAATATGCTAATGGCTCAGGAGTTTGGCCTTTCTCTTCCAGGTCCCTGTTCCTCTCCCTGTTTCTCGTCACATGACATCTGTCCCCTGTAAAGGGACTGGGCAGGTATCCCCACCCACATTATCTAAACACTGGGAGGAAGTGTAGCTACCGAGAGCAACCCTATCTCCCTCTCATCCCCCACCTGGCTGATACTCAGGGGTTACTTCTAGCTTTGCACTCAGGAATCACTCCTGGCAGTGCTCGGGGAACCATAAGGGATGCTGGGAATAGAACCCGGATCGGCCGCGTGCAAGGCAAACGCCCTACCCATTGTGCTATTGCTCCAGCCCCAGGATCCCACCTTCTTGACCATGTGGCCCAGGCCCCTGAGACACGGGCATGAAAAGCTTTGAAAGTGTTCAGTGTGATAGATGGAAGGAAGTGTCTTCACATCAGACCCATGAGCGTGGGACTTGAAATGAGCTGAGTTTTTCCTTTCTAACAGTTTGAGAGATGAGCAAATTTATCTTCTGCCTGGTTAAACTCAAAAGCTGTCAATCTCTGTTATCCTGTGAGCCCTGCCTGCTCGCTGAGAACCCGGAGACGTTCAGTGATAATCTGCCTTGGGGTGACGGTGCACAAGGGGCTGCTGGCGGTATGTGCAGGAAGATGCCGAGCGCTCCTGTCCTCGTCATGGGGCAAGGTGGAAAGGGGGTGTCAGATCAAATCTGAATCAGCTCTTGGGCCGCCCCCGCAGGGGGACAAGCTGCTCTGTTGGGTTGGGGCTCCCACTGCGCCTCGTTGCCAGCTATTTTCTTGATAGACACCTTGCAGCTTCCCTTGGCAGATCACATCCCCTGGGGTCCCTCAGAAGTGTAGGGCTGGGGGACTGAGGCCAGGAGAGCACTGGGGATGGAGCTGGTGTGGGACGAAGGCCAGCCCATTGTGGGTGCATGTGGAGATAGTGATATGGCATATGTGGGTACAGGTATGTGTGTGTGTGTGTGTATGTGCGTGTGTACATAAGCCCCTGTTTCCTCCCATGGTCGCCTCAGTCATGCCTGTGATACTCTGGCTGGAGGACACGGTGGCTTCTGTCCAGACAAGGGGGCAGAGGGCTCAGGGCAGCCAGCAGGGTTTGAGTGGGGCTCGTCATCCATTCTGTAAGACGGGTTCGGGGATGGATCCCAGGGGCAGTCTTCTGGATGGAAGGAAGGGGGGCAGACTGCTGTGTTGGAGAGGCTGGTCTGAGAGCCCTGTCTGGAGCGGAGAACAGTGAAAGGAGGAGAGAAGCAGGCCCACGCAAGCAGGGCCAGGAAGGCTGTGGTCAGGCACAGGACCGGGGCAATGCCTGAATGGTGGCAGGGCTGACGCTTACATGCTGCAGTCAGTCAGGGAGGGAGGTCAGTTTTGAAACCCAGAGAGACCAGAGCTGGAGGATTTTGGGGAGAGGAGTGACTCCCTCTGTTCCTTTGATAGCTGAGCCAAACTTCTTTTATTCCCCGCCCACCCCCCCCAGATCATGACACAGCTGCTCACAGCATAGTTCCTGGGAGGTGGCGCCAGGCTGCCGGAGGCCTATTGAAAGGATCTGGGAAAGAAAGTTGGGGCAAGGGACCTTGGGAGGCTGAGACAACAGCACCTCAGACCCCCAGGACACAACTCTGTGCGTTGCTATGACAACCGAAGGTGATGCACGCCCTGTGCAACGCAGGGGGAGCCCCCCAGGAGGCAACTGGCTGCCTCTGAGGCTCTCAGGAGTGAAGTCAGAGGCTGGGGACACAAACGGACCCGGGACGAAAGCGGCCGAGCCAGAGCAGAGGGAGAGGAGGGGTATAAGGGCAGTGGGGCTTGGGAGAGCTCCATGCCTGTGGGGGCTTGGCCGGGGACAGAGCTTCCCAGCCCCTGCAGGAAGCTTGGGGCTCTCCTTTCAAGCTGTGGCCAGCACAGGAGCACGGGAGGTCACAGCTCTGAACTGTGAATTTGGACAAGGCAACACAAGCAAGAAGAAAGACCCCCATGCCCGTGGCCGCAGACTGAATGTCACAGGAGCCAGCCAGGCGGGGAGAGAGAGACAGAGAAGCCCAGGCCGACCTCTCCTCTGAAGCTGCCCGGATGTCAGAGCACTGGGACAAGGACAATGGGACTGGCCAGACCGGCCACTTTTCCGGGACGCCCTCT